ACTACTAGTGAGCGTCACTTAGAACAACAGAGGTATTTGACAATTTTTCTTGTAATCCACTACTTTTCTATAGTGTCTGGGAGTTATATCCAGATAATGCGGCTAAAAAGAGCTCATACAAGGGAGTTATTCGCCCACAATATGTCGTAGAAAGCCCAAGAAGAAGAATATTATTGTCTGTTATAGCAGAAAAAATTTTTCGCAGGTCAGATTATTGTAGAAAAAGTGGTCAGAGGATCGACGGGAAGAGTTGTCGTACTTAGTTCTTTTGTTTTTGTTAGCACCCATAGTGTTCATAAGTAGTTTTCTCTTTCTAACTTTAGGAACTTTAGCCCTGTTAGTATCTAAAAAATTTTCTGTGTGTTTTTTTGTTATTTTGTTATGTTCAGTCCCTCAGTTGGAGGGAACAGGAGAGAGTTTTGCAGTATTATTTTTAACTTGTATATCAACTTTAAATTTATAGATTATTTTGTAGAGATCTTTACTATATATTTCTTGGTTGGGATACTTATTTCTTAATATCTGTTTCAGAATACTTGCCTCTAAATGACATTCTTGGACATAAAACTGAATCTCTTCTCTAATATTTGCAGGTACCTTTCATGATGAGGACAAAAATTGTTGATGTGATTCACTGTTTAATAATATATGATTATGGTTTTCAACAAATTTGTTGACAAAGATATGATTTTCACATTTTCGATAAGCAGTGTTTAGCATAAAGCTACAATCTATGCAAGCTGATTCCTGTTCTCGATTTTTAGTAGGATCTAAATTTTTTTTGAGCTAGTATTTACCACCATGCTGACACTTATATGTTTTCGAGCATAAATGTTGTTTTCTTTCTCAACTCAGACTATTTTCATTTTAAAACCTATTCGAGTTGAATAACACTTTAAGCATCATTCAAGAACTTCAAAAGAAGAAAAGAGCTGCTCAGTATAGATATCTTTTAATGAACTATCTTTAGCCTCATCTTCAGAACTATCATCAGGCTCACCTTCAGAACTATCATCAGGCTCAACTTCAGAACTATCACCAGGCTCATCTTCAGAACTATTATTGGGCTCATCTTCAGAACTATCACATTCAGACATGTTATTTTTAATATTTTTAATGACAAACAAGGCATCACGATTATTTTCAAAATTATCACCTTTTAGATACCTCAACATTTTTATTTACAATCAAAGTATCAGCCTTATTTTTTGAATCACAACTTTCATATATACTAGCTTTATTTTTATCATTTTCTAGTACAGGTAGTTTATCGGTCATACATTCAACAGAGAGTATAGCAAGAGCAGCATCATTCTTAGTGCAAGATGATATTTCATAATCCATAAGCAATCGTCAAATAGAAGAAAAGTGCAAAACCTAAAACAAATATAACAAAAGAGCAATTAAAAATTTGAGAAGTATGATACTATGTATTTAGCTAAAGAGTTATTTGAACTTATCCTATTTCAGTTTTTTTTTCATGATTAAACTGATACTGTATTAATGGCTAAAGTATGTAAAGAAAAAACATGTAAATCTAAAAAAAAAACAAGTGATAAAATACATAATAAAAATTCTAACAGATATGCTAAAATATATTTAACAAAGTCTACTTATACCAGTCTATTTTCTCTTTACAAATCTAGCCTTCTTTATAATTGTCTTATGTTTTTTGTGTCACTTTTTCATAATATCAGAAATTTTTTTTTTTTTTTTTTTTTTTATGCAGAATACATCTTTTTATTGAGTTAACTAAAAATTATACAAATTAATATTAGAAATTTGAATGAAGGTACGTATGTAAAAAAAAAAAAAAAAATCATAGAATCTAAATAAAGAATGTTCCTTGTTAATAAAAACAGCAGAGAATGCTATTATATTTTAATTAAAGTTTTTATTGCTTCCTGCACTCACCTTTTTTGGTATTTGTTTATTTGTACTAACAAAAGTAGAAAAGGTTTGATCATTACTATGATCAAACCCTTATTTATTTATTTATCATTATTCATCACTAACCTGATCATTAGTATAACTGATTCATGTAATAATATCTAATAATAAATATATAATAAAATATTAGATGGATACTAATAATCCCTAGTAAAAACATTATTTATACTTTTTTTAATTAATTAATAGATTAGTCAATAATATTGAATTTTTTAAAATTTATGATAAACCTTTAGCACCATTTCTTGCAACTAGATTAGCATTAATAAGAGCAAGATTGTTTTTTGATGCTAAAACTTTGTAAAGATTTTAATTTTGATTCTACTATTCATATTTCTTTTTTTAAAGAAGCATTTCAACTTGCCTTAGCTAAATTTGACAAGCATGTTAATAATAATTCTGCAATTTTAATTTTTAATGCTACTAGATGTTTTGACTCACACTTTATTCAATTACAACTACATAATCACAATATGTTACTCTATAATGATATAGGAGAATTTAAAAATCCTACAAATGCATTAATTACAGAATGGGGAATTTATTGTAGTTTGAACGAATTGTTTAAGAAAAAATTTTGATTTGAATAATTATTGGCAAGAAAAATTAGAAATTTTATCAAATTTATCTAAATTAGCATTAATTTATATTTGGTTACCTATTTCAGATGTAGATATAGAGCGTAGTTTCTCTACATATAATAGAATTTTGGCAGATAACAGACAGAATTTGTCTGAAAATTCGATTAGCATGTTGAATTTTTTAAATTTCATTAAATAAATAAACTTTATTATTTGTTTAAAAAAAATCGCATAATTTTACTATAATTTCACATAATTTTTGTATGGTAAGTATCAGAGGCATAATTTGAACTAATCATATCACATAATCTGCTCTTTCATTTCACATCGCACTGAGGTCCCTACTCTATACAGGAAAAATTACAAGACAAGCTACAAACAAAAACGTGGTCTGAATTATTTCCAAAATTTAAGGGTAGAAAAGCTACTTTTACTAGCTCCCTTCCAAAACCAAAAATTTATTCAAAGAATGATAACGAACTTATACTAGACATACAAAACATGAGCAATATTGCATCAAATAATATTATAGTAGCTCTTGCTACAAAACTAGAAGAGGACCTAATGGCAGCGAAGTTCCATTTCTCCAAAGGCAAACATTCTTTTCTAGAAGTAATTTTTTAAAACAAAGCTAGCTTACAAACTTATATTACAGAAAGAATCTGTCTTTTTAAACAAACTCTTTTGGCTTCTTATCAATTAATCTAAGATGAATCTTCCTCATAGTAAAACTCAAAAATACTCCACTTGGCAATCCCAAACATATCAATAATCTTATCTTAGAAGTATTCTAAGACTTTGAAACAATTGCCTTAATCAAACCTCTCTTCTTCGAAGGCACCACTGTATTATCAGACTAATAGTTAGTTACCTTTGAAACAACAGACAATCCTGATGTAACTCAAAGAATACCTAGAACTACTTATATAGACTATCACAAAGTTACAACAGAATGGAGAAATACATCAAAAGTCTGTTTTTACTATGAAAAAGAAGATATATCAAAAAAGAATGTGAAGAACTAAAAGCCTCAATTGAATTTAGAAAAACAACAGAAAGATCTTAGACTCCTGAGAGAGAAACAAAAAATAGCTGAAGAGAATAATTACCAAGAAAACTTCAGCTCAGAAAATCCTTACAATAACAATATGCAAATATTCTCTGAACTCACAGAAACATCTTCTGCTGAAACCTCATAAATTAGTAATCAAGATGCAGAT